TACAAGTTAGACGGCAGATGATGTGTAAAGAGATCATTTTTTGAGATTTCTTGAGAACATGGACTCATGAAAGATCGCCCGGGCTGCAACTCGCCCGTGTGAGAAAACACGATGATGATGATGATGATGATGGTGATGATGATGATGATGATGATGAATGACTAGCCTCCTCCGCAGGCATCACAAAGAATCACAAAGACTCATGGGATCCCTGTCTTTTTTGGGAGTCAAAAGAGGGAGAATGGGGGCGAGAAAAGGGAGTCCCTAGCGGCCAAGATGACCGTTACAAAGGAAGCCCAAAGGAGGAAAAAAGAGTTGCCCGTGGAGGAGGCTGAATGAATGACCTGTAATAGCACATTTATTATTATCGTGCGCTTACCTAACCTTTACCAAAGTTATTTTTGGCCCCCTCCATAAATAAACCGGTGACTGCGCGCGGATTTCACTACAATCACTGTTATCACTTTGGACTATTTGCGAATCCATTTAACGTAAATTAAAGTTACCTCTAGTTAACGCTAGTCAGGCCTCAACCCTAACAAAACACTGTTCGCAGGTATTGATAAAATTTCACAACCACATTTGTCCACGAAGGAAGCTTTATTTTTGTTTTGTTTTTGTTTTTGTTGCTTTTGTGTGTGAGTGAGGGTTAGTTATTTTTTAGTGCGGTATCTAATTCAGCTTGTGATTGGTGTGTTTAAGTGATTCATCTACAGAAAACTGTTCGATTTCCTCTGAGGTTGTTTGGGAAGCTCACTGAAATGTTTTACTCATCGATGTTTGATTTCTTCAGATGATGTAAAATATATAATGAATATATAATTTCGGCTTTTATTACCAAGAAAAAAGGAAACATCGGGCGTTGTGTTGGGCTCTAGTCTGCGCAGCATCGGTTGATTAACGTCTTGCGTGCTGTGCATAGGCTGAGTTCAGACCAAGATGAGAGGGAACATCACAAAAGGGGTCTTGTGTCTAGCGGGAAAATCCAGTCTTCCAAAAGAGGCAATTAATTTACTGGCTGCATCGAACAATACGTGTTAATCGTACGCGAACTGACAGGGTAGGTACGATGACTATTGAGTTATTGAGCACCTTCCTTCCAGTATCCAATAGCAATTTTCAATCAGTTSAGTTGTTCGTGTTGAAAATAAATTTTTTAGTGAACACCAACAGTGTTTTGCAAAGTAGGTGTATGTCCTCTTAAAAAAGGTGAACTAAAAATCCTTTTCTCCATACAACAGAAGCACACCTAACAAGTCAGGATTTTGATCTACAAAGAATACGATTTGGCTACAACATGACGTAGGTACCATTCACACRCGCACAACACAGTCGTATACAATATGCATACTCATTGGTCATACTATTAGTTCAAGTCCTAATTTGAAAAAGAAAGTTTCCTACGACTAGTCATAGGATTTTGATCCTTGGCTTAAAACTGTACTACAAATGGTTKCGAAAATCACTGGTAGGWAAGACGTAGGGGTATTCACTCGGCACCACTGATCAAACGTCCAAATCAAATGTCGACTAAACATGGAGCACAACAGATAGAAAAATGCTTGTTTTTACAGARGGAGGAAAAAGCTGATAAGACCCGGAAAAACACTCGAAGCAAGGGAGAGGACGAAAAGAAACTCAAATCACATAGTGCATCCCGACCGAGATTCGAACAGGGTCCACAGAGGTGACAAACCAGCGATCTCACCGCTCGCCCACCCTTGCTTCAAATTTACTTCGTTTTGGTCACTTACGTGATATTTACATCAAATTTACAACCTTTTAAAGTGCGCGATTTTTTCCAATGACTGCAATTGTCTGTTGTCTGATTTTTTTTAACCATGAATTCCGAAGTATTTGTATAAAGAGTCTCCAAAAAATTGTTACAGTCTGGATACTGCACGTAATTTGTATGGCTTGGGAAAGTTAACAACTCCTAAGTGTCCAATCATGTCAGGTAATCGCTCAGTATGCTCAAGTCTGAATTTGTGCAAAAATCGAGATGCAAACAAGAACATCTCTGTCTTGGAGTCGGTTTCTCCGATGCAAACTCTTCGTCCTGCTCCAAATGGAAGAAGATTTCGAGTTTTGAAGGAAGATATCTTACCATCTTCACCTAGAAATCTAAAAGAAAAAAAAGCATGATTATTTTCAAGTAGCGTTAGGTAGGATGCCTATAGAGTACTGAAGTGATGACGTCACAACAAGAAAATGTTTTAAACCTTGGCTTCCATATTSTGAAAGTGCATCATTTTCAATGCATTCTTGATAGATTTAAGTTTCCTAGTGCCATTTATAGCGGAGATACGAGCGACTTTATGGTCGGGTGGCCACATCCAAACTCTTGTAAATTTGCTCTGGATTATAACTTTATATATGATAATAATATAGCACGCCTATACCCAACAAAAGGACTTCTTCCTGGTTAATTAATATTTTTTAGTGCRGTATCTAATTCAGCTTCAGTGATTGGTGTGTTTAAGTGATTCATCTACAGAAAACTGTTCGATTTCCTCTGAGGTTGATCGAGAAGCTCACTCATCGATGTTTGATTTCTTCAGGTGATGTAAAAYATATAATGAACRCCACCAACAGTGCATTGCAAAGTAAATGCATGTCTTCTTAAAAAACCGTAAAATAAARAAAYGATCTTTATATTCTCCCGGAAGCAATACCCCTAACAAGTCAGGATTTTGACCTACGACATCACTGTAGAAATACGTAGGCACCATATTTATACGCACACGATACAGTCGTATACAGTATGCACACCCACTGGTCATACTATTAGTTCCAGTCCTAATTTGAAAAAGAAAAAATTTCCTACGACCTATATAGTCATAGGATCTTGATCCTTGGCTTAAAACTGTACTTCAAATGGTGTACTACAAATGGAGAGTCACTGGTATGCAAGACGTAGGGACGTTTACTCGGTACCACTGCAACTGTTTTGAGTCGTCYACTCAAAGGTACGTGACAATTGAATCGTTTAAATCACTCTTACGAGTAAGTACCATAAGTATCAKTCGCCTTCATCGGCATTAATGACAACATACTATACTACTGTAGGTCAGTAGAGAAACAGTATGGGGCGAGAGGTCAGTGTTCAAATCCTGGTCGACCCCCTCACTTCTCTGTGCTTTAAAATAAATGAAAGGTTTTGTTGTGGATAGATCATTTCATTTATCGGATAGGCTCCTATACTTTGGAGGGACGTCAAGAGCCATTGACGACGTACAGTAAAAAATCATTGAAATGATTCAGTAAGACACTATATATGAGATGCCTAGAATGCACTAAACAAAAAGTTAATATTCTACAGGTCTTTTAGAATCCTATAAGATTAGAAATTACAACTTCAAACTTGAAAATTAAATTAAAAACGTGACGATCAAAAAAGTAACACAGTTGAATGTTTTAAAGCAAAAATATTTTTATAGTCTAAAAATACCAATGAAAGAAATGTTTCGGTAATTCTCTATAAGACAAAGTGTCATTTGGTTCCCTGGACATCCCATAATTCCTTCAGAATTCAAGTTGGAACCCATTTAAGTAAAGAGTTCTATTATCAATGCTGTTACAAACAGTGCCCAACCGCGAGACATAAGTAAGAGAATTAAAATCTAACCAATCATTACCTTGATGGATCGAACACATCGTGTTTCTGCCAGTCATCGCTGTTGTGATGTATCGCCCATAGATTTAGAATTACCGTTGTATTCTTTGGAATAGAATAACCTTGCACCGTCGTGTCGCGCGTGGTTTTGTGAGGTACTGCAAGTGGGACTGGAGATGCCATTCGCATCGTTTCAAGAATGCTTGCTTCAAGGTAAGGTAGATTCTCTCGGTCCTTCAGTGTTGGCGCTTGTTTTGGATCTCGACCAACAGCACGATCGAGCTCTACATGCAGTTTGTCTTGAACGTCAGGGTTTCTTATAAGGTGAGCAARAAGCCATCGTAATGTTGTGACAGCAGTTTCATTGCCTGCGGAAAACATGTCTCCTARSGTCATTAGRACATGGTCACGTGTCATCAAGTTACGGTATTTGCTATCTTCGTCCTCTGAGTCTCGAAGTGCCTTGATTGACGCGTCGGTAATGTCTCGGATATTGTCTGCATCAAATGATTCCATGTGCTTTTCTAGTTCCTTTTCAAGAAATTTATCTCGGTTACATTTGCTTTCTTTCAAAAATTTCGATTGCTCGAGTGGAAAGTGGATGAGAAAAGGGAAAACGTCGATGGCGCTGACTGCTGCAAAAGAGCGCGCGATCTGTTCATTGAATTGAACCACTTCAAGAAACTCAGGATCATCATATTSAAAKTGACRCCCAAAAACCATTCCACAGATAACATTAAGGACTGCGAACGACAAAGGRCGATAAGGGTCAAACGGTTTGCCATCCAAGTCTTTAACAATCGAAACAAGTTTATCAGCYTCATGGCAAACGGCTGCTTCCARTTTGGGTCTATAAAGGCGAAGGGCAGTGTGCATAACCTTGCGTTGGAGGATCAATGTTGGGCAGAAGTCGTTAAACGCTATATCTTTACAGCCGCGAGTGGCATAATCAGCTGAGAAAATGTAGGGACGTCCAGCAAAATCGTCCTTCTTTGTTACCAATACCTAGTTGTAAGAATATGATATTTCTCTCAGTCCTTCTAAGTATATAACTTGTCCAAAGATCATATCTTCAGACAACGAGGCATCAGCGATATTGTTTTTCCAATAAAATTAACAATAAAAACATAGAAAACAGTCAATCGATCAAAAATGAGTAAAACTATTAAGTATTTATACTAGTTATCTTGCGTCCGGAAACAAGAGAATTGCCTCCTAACTGAAATGTRGTACTCTCTAATTCATTCCTTTTTTATAATCCACTGCGCCCTTCGCAAAATAATAGTATGTGTAACTTAAAAAAATKGCAAAGAGTACAGTACCATATAGCACCTAAATGAACATTGATGGCTTCAGACTCTTTTAACTGATATAGAAATAAGCTAAATACCTCTCGAGCTATTTCACCCGATGATACAACCACAGTCCGCTGACCGTTGATATAGACAGTCATGATATTCCCATACGTCTTTGCGAGCTTCTCAAAGGCCAGGTGAACATTGGGCATTGATGACAGCATGTGCAGAACATTTCCAACCAACGGTAAGGGCATGGGTCCAGGTGGGAGGTTACCTGGTTCCTGTATTCTCGTGTACAGATAATGTAGCATAATGATGACAACAAGAGCAACAACATAGCCAATCATGTTCAGGTGCAAGGCTTTCTACAATTACAGAAAGCATAGTCAGTCAAGGGAGTATTATGTTA